AGACTTGCCACGGTCTCCAACCCTCCTCCTTTCTCATCCGGGCTTGGGACCGGCCATGGCGGAGTTTGCATACAAAATATTAATTATTATTATTATTCGTGTCTTCCGCTGAACTTGCGGCTTGCAAATGGTTTAGAGTCCCGTCACCGTGGGTCGGGGCTGTGGTTGCCCGCCATTTGCCAGTGGTTTCTGTCGGTGACTAAGCCTTGCATAGTTGCTTCTTCTCTTTTAATCTTTTGGGCTTGATGAAATTTGGAGAAACATCGATCGTAGTTGCCTAGGGTTGGCATCCATACTGGACAACCGAACAACTTTTAGTCAAAAAACACTCTAGAATTGAGAAGAATCTTGGAGCGTCGACTGTGTTCGTGGCATTTCGACAACAAAGATCAGTAAACGATCTTTGATGCTTATGTAATTTTAATCTAAAGCACCATAGTTATTATCTATAGAGTTTTGATTCGTTCCTGCATGTAATAATTTGTTGAACTACTTTTAGAATTGGCGACCGTGTAGTTGTTACAGATAAGTCGGATCCAGACTGGTGGCAGGTAAGTTGCGAAGATAATTATTATTAATAATGAATAGGACTTCCGGTGGTTGATATTGGGTCCGACTTATATGGATATGAACGATTCATGGTTCAGAGCACTAAACATAGCGGATGGTGTACCTTTGTTGCCTACTCGTTTTGCTACATAGCACAGTACATCATACACCGCAGTACTGATGATTCTGCAGTGTACGCAGCGAAACGCGTTGACCATACAGTTTTACTGTCACCTGTATTTCGTGCCCTGAATCTTGAAACGTTCAAAATTTATTATTATTTTGATTCTTTATTAAGAAATGGGGAACTTCTGCATGGGACGGTGTGATTTTTTTAATCAGAAATGAAAGACGTCAGGAATATGATATGCGATTTCTGCCCATACTTTTTTTGTGATACTCATTTGAGATTAAAAGGAACATTATTTGAGGAAAATTGCCTAAAATGTCTAGAAATAGACGATCTTCATGTCTCGTTTTTTCGACGATGCGTTTAGCCGTTAAATTTGTCATGAAATGTCACATAAATATTTATTTCTTGCAGTTCCGAAGGTCCATTGGTTAAAAAGTCAGTTGTCACGACATATGGGGAAGAACTTGTATGTGGCTTTTGACATGTCAACGATCGGCATTATCAGCGAGTGTTTTGTCGGAAATTTCTACCATATTTGAGATGTTAAGCCAGTGAGGTGTATGGCAGCCTACTTCTCTCATCAAGTACTTAAGGCGAATGTTTCAGTACCATCGTCTACTTTTCAGACTGTGAGCCAGTTCAAAAACTTGACCATTTAAATGCTTATGACAGCTACGGAATACGCCGCTAGAACAGTTCTGACAAACATTTAAAAAGCATGATACCGATAGCTACAATCCTTTCCCTCGTAAGGCTAAAAGTCGTGCTGGAAGGCCACTTGCAGCGTTATGTTAGCTTCAGTACACCAATGCATTGATGTCACCAATGAGGAATTCAACGACCGGTTTCCCTAACATGTGTTGCCAGCCATTATCAGCATTGTGTGGTAATTGTGAGTAATGTTGACTCAATTTAGGGATACAAATACAGCGAACGGATAGGCATCTTTCCGTCGACCTGCGTAGCGAGAGTTTACTCGAATGAACGAGTCATGCAAGTCTTGCAGAACGTTAACCTGTGGGACGGGACCAAAAGTCTCAGGCTGTATCGAGACCAGGTAACACACGTTGCAGTGATTTTCTGCCCTACTTAAGCGTACACTACTCCTCTGAACAGGTGGTGTTCGCGGAGAGCGAGGAGCCAGACGGACTGGTTCCTATTCGAACAGAAAAGGATCACCGGATTAATTGCCCTGCAACGTATTTGATTTGCCTTAACTGAAGACAGCGTCCGGTCAAGATCTACGGGTGCTTCTTATCGAAGTTCATTGCTACTTTTTGATATCATTGGTTTCAAACGCTGATGGATACCCTTCTCCGCAAGACTGACATTTCCTCAGCGCTGATTATCCGTACTGTACAAACGTGTAATAACAAAAGATCAATAATAAAAGATAAGCAGACTGATAGTCATTCGTTATACTCGCCGTTTTTCGAAATTTGACACCGTCCAATTCTGACGAAGCATGACTGTTAGCGACACAACCCCTCTGAAATAGTACATCGATAAAATAATTTCGAAAACTTACAAAAGAGTATCCCGAGAGATAAACCTTAGTTTTGGTTCCAAGAGAGCAAAGGTTTCCCCGTAGGAAATCCTCCAGATAGAAGACAGGATGTGCTCAAGGAATTGGTTGGATTGAGATGGATAGAAATGACGGAAAACAGAAGTCCATGGTGAAGTTTTGGAGGTGCCTTCATTCAATAGTAGATAGACAGACTCTTATGATAATTATAAAACAGTACCAGACTTTAAATATCGCACAGATTCACTCGCTTTTCATTAACATTTAAACGTAAACAAAATTCAGCAACGCAATGCCCTCATTGGTGACATTTATGCAGCGTTTGACGACGCCAAATGTAACTCATAACTGCGCAAATACCATATTCGATATTTCCAAGTATTGTGCTGTCTAATTTTTCCGTTATTCCTTCGACCAGTAGACGGTTTCCACGAAAATCTGCGCAATAAACCGTTATTGTGGTAGTTTTCTCAAGGTCTAAGAG